ACTGCTTACATTTTCTTCCATTAATGACCCTAATATTTCTGACTGGAGTTTCTTGTTTTGGCCTCATAATACAAATGAGATGTAGTTTCTAAGGGACTTTAGTGTTTAGTTCTTGTGTGTTGCTCAGAGTGACGACAATACATTTGAAATATGTTCTATAGTTAGTTTAGTAAATATCTGAGCTTCATGTTGATCCAGTCCATGCTGCTCCTAGAATAAACAACTTTCTTTTTTATAGTATGAAGTGAGACAGTTTCCAGAGGGAGCTGCTCTCAGAGCTGTCCTATTCATCATTTCTGTCCATCCGTTGCAGCGCTGATGGTGTTTGTGTTCAGATGTGCAGGCAGAGCTGGACTCCGTGGAGGCCGAGCTGGAGCTGGTGGAGCTTCAGATCTCAGACCTCCTGGACAAACAGAGCAAACTGACGTCTCAGAAGAACACGCTGCTGCGACAGCTGGAGGACGCCTGCAGCGGCGTCGGACCGTCATCCTCAAAGTCTGCAGGCCCTGCGATCAGCAAGCAGGAGCTGAAGCAGTACGACGGTGCAGGTAGCAGAGGGCCCCGGCTGCCTAAAGCTTTCTGTTGGGATGTAATAAGTTCTAAAACAATCCACTGGACTTTGTTTCCAAGATTGAAGACGTTTCTCTTCCATCCAGGAAGCTTTTTCTATTCAAAATGTCAGAAATAGCGTTGAGTTCTAGGCTTTATTCAGTAGCCCAACAAAACTTTGTTTTTGCTTTGACAAATAAAGATGTCTGGCTGAACAGTAGAGGTCTTCTGTTCCACTGTGGGATTGCAATGATAGCTGGAAGGGATTAACTCAGTTGCTATCGCTTTCCGCTATCATTACAACCCCAACCGCTTTACAGGGGAACAGAAGACCTCGCCTATTCAACCAAGCCAACAATTCCCTTTAACGACCCCCTTTCAGAGACATAGACAGGTATGGGACGTTGCAGGCTAACAAAGAAGCTAAACGACCCCCATTCCAAAAGGATGGACCCGTTCATCCGTTTTAATTAGCATGTTTTCTAACGTAAACAAGGCTTGGTTTGGCTGCTGGATAAAACCTGGAACTCAACGCTATTTCTGACATTTTGAATTGAAAAATGCTTCCTGGATGGAAGAGAAACGTCTTCAAACTTGGAATCAAAGTCCAGTGGATTGGTTTTTTTTTAACTGTTTTGGATTGACTATGACCTGGATGATGAGAATCTTCACCAGCAGACCTGTGCTTGTTAGATTTCCCTTGGTCCAAAGAGTTGGAGCGGCACCTGAAGAACACCTTCCACCTCTCCACCTTCAGACCACTGCAGCTCAGAGCCATCAACCTAACCATGGCAGGCAGGGACCTGTTTGTTGTCATGCCGACAGGAAGAGGAAAAAGTCTCTGCTTCCAGCTGCCGGCGCTCTGCTCTGAGGGTACACAAACTCACACCATGAAAACTCACTTTTCTCCTTTGCTTATTTTGAGGTTATTCTGTTATTGGCTTCTCTAATGAAGGGGAGTCAGTCTGTTTGACCAGCTGATTATGTTGCAGGTTTCACTTTGGTCATCACACCTCTGGTCTCTCTGATGGAGGATCAGATCATGTACCTGAAGTCTCTGGATATCCCTGCAGTCATGCTGAATGCCTCCAGCAGTAAGGTAACGACTGGCGTCTGTCCTTTCTTCTCCGCCACGTTAG